AGGCTGGGAGGGGAGAATGAGGGGTATTGAGTCGGGGAGAAAAACACACACGTGGGGTGGTGTTGGCGGGTCGTCTGAAGCTCACAGAACGGAGGCGCAACGGTTCTTTTTGTGACAGACAGATTGGAAATTGCACACATTGAATGTGTTTTCTGTACCACGCGAAACCCTAATCGCAATACCCCTCCCCCCAGCCCCCGACGCCCCTTTTCCCCTCCCTACCTTGACCAAGGTCTCTCCCAGGAACTCACTTGGGGGACTTATTAGTTGCCCAACCGCAACCCCACCAACGCCAAACCCGTGTCGCCTTTTCGTTCCGTCTATGCTTTCGCACCATAGAGCCCGCTTAGATTAGAGAAGCGCTCTCCGAAGGGATGTGTGTGTCCCGCGTGTGAACCACTCACCAAAACGTGAAGTGAATCGCGGCCTCCCCGGCCCCGCGCCGCCGCCGCCGCCGCCACCGCCGCTGCTCATTACTCCCCCAAGAAAGGGTGAAGCCTGCGAGTGGGCCCATATGCGCGTGAAAAGCATGGGAGCGGCTGCCGCCAAAAAAGCTGCGCTGCCCAAGACCCTTCTCCCGCCCATATTCCCATCATCACTCCCCCTCCCCCCACCGTTCCTTACCCTCTACGTCCTTTCTGGGATGTGTCGGTAGTTGAAATTTCGTTGCTTTTTTGTTTGTAACGGCCGTTGTTTATTGCTCTTCACCAGAGTCTTCTTCTCCCCCCACGCCCCGGCCGGCTTTTCCTGCTGCCATGTATGGGCGGCTCTGCAGGTCCCAAACGCTGTACGGACTGGCGTGGCGGTTGATCATGTTGCCGGATGCTTTTTCGTACGAAGTCACACTTCTGGGTCGTGGAGCTTTTCTGTCCCTACTGGATAACCGTAAGCGCCAGAGCAGGGTTGCAGCGCCGTAGTAGTTTTAGCTGCTGCTGGGGATAAGAGGTTGGGTTGTCACCACCTGATATCTGGAGGAGGTCATTTTGCGCGAAATTGTTGAAGGCCATCGTGTCTGTGTGATTGTTGCGGAGCATGGCAAAAAATGCGAGTTCTTGTCGGATGCTGCGCCGCGGCAATTGTTGTTGCGTTTGTAGAACGGACGTGTGATGACGCGTCGCGTTTTTCGTATAATAAAGCAAGAGACAGACTTCGTTGCGCTGCATTAATCGCTTTTGGTGCTCGTCTGTGAATTTCTGTGTCATGCCCATTCTTCCATCCTTTTCCTTCAGTCCCCTTCCCCCCCACCCGATTTGCGCTTATTATAGGTGTGGCCTGGGTCCAACCCCGTCCCGATGATCCCACACTGGGGCCTCCCGGCTGCTTAACGGTCACCTGGGACGTTGACCTTGCTACCGTACAGTTAGTTGCCGTACAGGCAACCGAATGCAGCAGCACAGCCAGTGTAATTTGTAAGTCGACCTGGCCGGCACCGGAGGCCAACAGGAGCAGTGTCACCATCAGAAGTAGCTACCCTGTCGGGCCGCCGCCGCCGCTGACACCCAACAGCAGCAACAGCAGCAGTGCCGTACAGGCACGATGGATTCCGGGTATGTGTAAACGTACGCAGGCCCCCCTTAGCAGCAAGGCGGGGGCAGGGGAAACAAGCGCCGTTTAGTTTTGAGTTTGTAGCTTGGCGTGTTTGGCGGGAAAATTGAGGAAAAAACTGCTGCTGCTGCGCGCGCGTGTGTGTGTGCGTGCGTGTGTGTTTTCCTCCCGTACATGCGATGATGTTCGCCGTCGCATTGTACATACGCGGCATAATGTAAATGCAAACTTTAAACGGTCATGTATCTGTTGCCCCCTCCAGGGCGCTCTCCGCGACACGAACACGACACGAACTCATTCCACACCCAAACACAAGCACACGCACATACATACAGTCATACAAAGACACACCGCGCGCGCGCACATTTGTGTGTCCGGTGTACCGCCATCGCCATTTCCCCCCCATCGCGGATCATCGTGGGTCATTGAAACACCTGACCTCTAACACCCCTCCCCCTCCCCTTTTCCCCCCCCACACAATTAAACCCCCCTTCCCTTTTTCCCCCCACCAGGCCTTCACAGTCTCAGTATGGCGCTCATCGGCGTGGGGCAGTCCAACTCGGGACCTAGCTGCGTGTTCGAGTCGTTCGGGGACTGGCCGGCCGCGGCAAGCCTGGAGACCGCGTTGGTGAGAGGTGTGCACCACACCACCAGCCCATGTCAGCCCCCTTCTTGCCCCCCCCCCCCCCCCCACA